CAGAACAGGTGTCCCCTAACAGAGGATACAGGATAAAGGTCTCTAAGGTTAGACTTGAGTCTAGCCCTCAAAGCTGACTGAGTCACGAAGCGTGGGCTTATGAGGCTAAGGAAGTTCTACCCCCTAACTTATTATGGTCTGCCCTTTGGACATGATGGTTGATCAAACCTCTTCAATTAATACCATTTCCTTCTTATCTGGTCCCATTTCAAACTAAACCATGGCTGCCCCTTGTCAGTTAACAACCTGATTCCCAAACTTTGTAGGGCTAGCAACAATTTACAAAAGCAAATCAGTGCACCTACTTGGGCTGATACCCATCCTAAACAGAGCATATTAAGAGAATACTGGTTAAAGGAGAAGAACAAACAGCTTTTTCAATGAGAGTGGCCAGATAGCGAGAGAACTAAGTATGTGACGTGTCATGGAATAGAGGGTTTCAAGGAGGATAGGATCTCAATAGAAATACTAGAATGAGAATTCAGAAAATGCAGTGAGGAGGTCACTGGTGACCCTAGAGAGCAACCTTTCAATAAACAAATGAGTTTTGAAGCCAGAGTTCAAAGACACCAGAAATGACCAGGTGCTGAAGAAACAAAGGCCACGGGTAAAAGCTCTATTGGGAGGGATATGGGGATATGTGTTTGGCATATATGTTTTTGAAAAACATCCTATTTTTAAGTAATCTCCACACCCAACATAGGGCTCAAACTCACAATCCGGAGATCAAGACTCATACGTTGTACTGGCTAAGCCAGCTGGGTACCCCGGCTTAGATGTTTTCAAGACAGAAAAGACTCGTGCGTGATTGGAACCTTGGAGAAAGGAGCTTATAGATAGGAAAAATATATTCATTTCTACAATTGCTGATATGTTTAGTTTAGCAGAATCAATTTTCGAGTTTTGTTGTCCGTAAAATGTGATCCTGTAATGAAGCTCTATTGCCCCCATGTGGTGTAGGCTGCCCAGCAACTTCATTCTAAACTAGGAATTGACAAACTTGCTGTAAACAGTAACTATTTTAGTTTTGAGGGAAAGTAACCACAGATAATACATAAACCAACAGGTGTGACCATGTTCCACTAAAACTTTAAGTAATTTGCTCAAGGTTGAGGGGATCAGAATATGGCACCCTCAGATATGCCACTTTGGCATAAAGATTACTTTAAGCTGAGAGCATCTGAGATTCAACAGATGCAAAAAAAAAAAAAAAAAAAAAAGGATTCTTAGAGCTTTCATTTTCTGACTAAAAGTAACAACTTCTGGGAAATAAGACTACCATAAATTCTCCCCGAGGGCAGATCTACTCCCAGGAGGAAGAATGAGAATAAAATCTACCTCAAATCCCTTATTTAGGGAAATGTTATGGCCCTGAAGAAGATGAAAACACCACTCATACCAAGATAGAGAAGCATTATCACAAACTTTTAATTTCCTGTTTGTTCTCCTGAAAATAATTTCTTTCCAAAAAGTCATTTGTTTTCCTGTAAGTGCCTTTCTCCTCCTCTCCTTTACCTAGTAAGGTGGTATACAGATAGGAAATCCTATCTTCTTTGAGTTATCACTGACGTCTCCCACGTGTGTGCATGCGGCACATGTAAATAAAGTGTTTTTCCCCCTCCTGTTCATTTGTCTTTTGTCAGTTTAATTTGCAAGACTCCAGCCACAGAATATAAGATGGCAGAAGAAAAGTGTTTTTCTTCACCTCCAAGGTCAGGTAGCTATTAAGTGGAGGAAAAGGGATTTAAACCCAGATATCTGCTTCTAGAAACTGAGCTCCCCCTTACTAAGCTACTCTATATATTATTATTTTTAACTGAGACTCCATCTTAACATAACTTTTTACCATACACTATATTTTATTTTTAAATGTGTATTTATTTTGAGAGAGAGAGAGAGAAAGAGAGGGAGAGAGAGGATCATAAGCAGGCTCCGCACTGTCAGTACAGAGCCCAACTTAGGGTTTGAACTCAGGAACTGTGAGATCATGACTTGAGCTGATATTGAGTCAGGTAGAGGCCTCTACTGTACACTATATTTTAAATAAGGCATATAAAAAGTTAGTCACAGGCACTTTTCTCCAGATTTAATTAATGTACTTTTTTGAGTGCTACTGAATCTTACTTTGAATCAGGTTCTTCACACACCTTGTCTACAGCTTGGGCACATGATAGAAATTCATTAAGTACCTTTTGGTTTGCTTTCTCTCTTATAGATTTTCCCCCTTTTAGCCGCAGTTTGACTCCACGTCTGTTTAGGCTATTAATATTATTCAAAGCCAAAGTTTTCATATGATTTTCTTCATTTTAGAGGTAGTATAGTGCAGTGGTTTTACATATGAGCTTTGAAGACAGTCCTCAGTCTGAATTCTGGCACTTGTCACTGCATGGTAAGTACTCCGTAAACATCAGCTAGTCTATTCAATCAACTAGAATGTATGCCTTGGTTCAATTTCCCCATGTTTTCTCTCCTCATGCAGAAGCAAAAAGGACCTTAGTCATCTTAGGTCCCTTTAAATAACCACCACCACCACAATTTTAACTATCATCACCATAATAGTAGCTGACATTTACTGAGTGATTACTATGTATTATTTATTATTTTTTCCAAAATTTTCTGTAAATTCAAGTTAGTTAATATACAGTGCAGTATTAGTTTCAGAAGTAGAATCCAGTGATTCATCACTTACATACAACACCCAGCGCTCATTACAACAAGTGCCCTCCTTAATGCCCATCACCCATCTAGCCAATCCAGCAACCCTCAGTTCGTTCTCTCTAGTTAAGAGCCTCTTATGGTTTGCCTCCCTCTCTGTTTCTATCTTATTTTATTTTCCCTTCCCTTCTCCTTTGTTTATCTGTTTTGTTTCTTAAATTCCACATGAGTGAAATCATGGTATCTTATCTTTTTCTGACTTAATTCGCTTAGCATAATACACTCTAGTTCCACCCACATCATTGCAAATGGCAAGATTTCATTCTTTTTGATGGCTGAGTAATATTCCATTGTGCATTAAATACTTTCCATGAATTAATTTTATTATTTCAATAACCCTATGAAGCAGGTATTATCATTATCTTTACAGACAGGAAACTGAAGTCCAGGGAGATTAAATAACTTTTCCAAGGTCACATGGATAATAAGTGGCAGAGATATTTTTTTGAACCCAGGTAAGTCTGACTTCAGAATCCATACTCTTTATTACTTTTCTCTTTTGCTTTATACTGTCTCCAACAGAAAATTTTACTGTTATGTATTTCTTCAAATTAGAAGGAATAATTTTCCAATGTCTCCAAAGCAATGGTTACTAGGCTTTAGGGTTTCACATGCTATTAAAATTTTAAAGATTCTGATAAACAGCATAGATTTGCCACATTTAAGTTTTGACAAGAAAGGACCTCAAAACAAAACAAAACAAACCACCACCACTATCATTTACTATGAGCTTAAAATAAAGGATGATTTAATACCAAAAAAGTAGGATAGATATAACCTAGAACTTCCACTTTGGTGAGAACAAAGATTTTAGGACAATATTCTCCTTCCTTCTTAATACCAGGTTAATAGCTACATGCTGCTTGCATTTAGATACAACAACTCTTTTAGCAACTTTTACAACTTGTCTTTCTAGAGAGAACCTGTGTCTTTGGATCTGGAAGCTAAGAGTGCCATTAATTAAAAATTGTTGCTTTTTAATAGAAAGTGGAATAAAAGATCTATAGGTGTTTTGTTCCACTAAAGTGGCCATAGGACTTAACAGTCTGAGTGGCCTTACTTCTACTCTTGAAATTTCAAAAGATGAAATAAACAGTTTCGGGATTAGACTTCTTTCATTCCAAAGCATTACAGGAGTAATCATACTGTTGAAAATGAGAACATCTCAGTTAAAACCTTATTTTTTTGCACCTTTGATTTCCTCCAGAATCCCAATGCCCGAGTGTTTTCAACAAAGTGCCACATCATTAGAAATCAACATGAACGTTGGTCTTGTTAATTTTTTTTATTGATTACACTCTGCTGGCTGCATTTTGAACTTGACGACAAACATGAATTGTGTACACATGTAAAAATTTGGAACAATTCTCTTTTACGTAACAGTCTATTAGACCCTTGTTTTGTTATACTTTAGATAAATTAAATTTGAATAGCTCAATTATAATCAAGTATATTCAGCTTCAATTATAACTTCTAATGGATTCAAGCCTATTAGCACAATGTTAATAAAAGGCCAGTGGTTTGCTCCTAATGAACTTTTATGTATTACGTAATCACATTAAAAACCGGAGTCTCCTAAATACCTTAGGGTGGCATTCGCTAGTGGGTCCTGCAGTTTGGATGTCAAGACCAGTACCAGCATCTTTTGGGAGCTGCAAGGAAGTCAGAAGGACAAAGAACATAACTCAAAACACTAACTTCTTATTCGTACTAGCGCTTAGTCCAGGGTCCTGCTGTAACCTTCACTCGGTGACTTTTTTCTCTATCAATACAAAGACAATTTTCTCTCCTCATCGATCCTTCTAGTATTTTGTTTGGAGGACGGTGGTACATTGAAAAACTTTTAAGAACCTCCTTATCCATTTTGAGAGTTCAGAACTTTATAACTTTTGGATAAGCAATCAGAGTGAAGACTCTTAAAGACCCAGGTTGGACTAGCAAGCACAAAGCTTGACCACGTACGGATATTTGGGTCTGAAGTGAGCCTGGAGTGTGGACACAGGCGGTAGCAGAAAAATCGTTGATACCAGGGTGTAAACGCAGTTCTAGTCCACGCCGGCGTGGGTTCCAGGTCTGCGACACCAATTACCTCTCAAGAGGTGCGGCGAAATCCCACACAGCCCAGAACAACGGCAACCCAGACTCAAATCGATTCGGTACGGAACCCAGACGCAGGTGATCCGTGGGCGCTGGATGATGACGTACTCCGCAGACCAGGCGGTGATTGGTTTCCGAACGGGGCGTCGACCGCCAACGCGACGCGGAGCCCTGGCCTAAGTCCTCGCGAGAGCGGCGGACTCCGGTGCGGGATGGCCGCTGAGCCGGGCGGAGCTGGCTCGCGGCTCCCGGAGCCGGCTCTCCGGCCCGAGGCATGGCCCGGGGTCTCGGCCCGCTAGGCCGGCCTCGCCCTGATACGGTCGCCATGCCCAAGAGAGGGAAGCGCCTCAAGTTCCGGGCCCACGACGCCTGCTCTGGACGAGGTGGGCGAGGGGGTGGGGGCGTTGAAAGGCTCATTGCTGGCGGCAGGGAGGGGGGCTGGACGGCGCCGGGGCGAGCGCTCGCTTGCCTGTAATGGGAGAGCGGCTGGGGCCGGGGACCTGCAGTGAGCAGGAGGTCTAGGCGGGGAGGACGCTGACAAGAGAAGGCCTCCTCCTTTGAGGGTTGATGCTGTATTTCAGTGACCGTGGCGGATTATGCCAACTCGGATCCGGCGGTCGTGAGGTCTGGACGGGTCAAGAAAGCCGTCGCCAATGCTGTTCAGCAGGAAGGTAGGCTGCCGACAAGTCTTTTCAGACTCAGGCCGTGAAGACAGAACTAGGTGTTTCATTTTCCTGGGATCCTGCCTCAGTGTTTTTCTTGGAATCCTTTGGGCATCTTCCCATAAACGTGTTTGCCGTCCTGAGTAGTCATTTATGTATTCGGAGGAGGGGAAAGGGAGGATTAGCCAAGAGCAGTAGCAGTTTCTGTAGCAGAAATATTTTATTTCTGTTTTTGCATCCAAAAAAAATATGTATCTTTGTGTACTTTTCTGTAATTTTCACTGCCTCCTTCTTGGTTATTCGTCTTTTTCCTGTGGTTCATATGTACTCTCAGTTATTCTGCAGTTTGCTTCTTTGTGTGATAACCTTGAAGTGTGCTTTTCCTTTTCTCATGCTTCTCTTACAAGCCTTTAACTCACAGGTCCCTGCGACTTGTGCTTTTATGGCACCCACTGACTCTAGCTTAGGAACAGGGTTAAATTGGATTCATTTTCTCTCATTGCTTCTCAGAATTTATGCAAACGAGAATAGCATTAACCTTTTGTTTTTTATCCTACAGGGTTTATAGTGGAAGAATAATAATGCATTCCCTTTTTCTTCAGGTCTGAAGTTGACACTTTTAAGGAGTCAATCTCTGCAACTTTGGAGTCAGATTGCTCATTTGCTTTCCAGTATTTTTGTATTTAAATGCTAAAATTTCTTTCTTTTTGGTTCTCGGCTTTCTTCAGCAGGCTCTCTCACACTATTGCTCCACCCTCCCCCCTTTTTCTTTTCCTCTTGGATGCTGATATCCTGCCTAAGTCGTGTCATTTGTATTTCTGGATGGGACTCTGCCATCTCATTCTCCCCTTATTTTCTTCTAGTAAAATCTCTTTGTGGCTTGGAAGCCTCCCAGGTTCCTGCAGTGGAAGCTCTTTCTGGGGTTGGTGAGCCCTGTGACATCATTGACAGCAGTGATGAGATGGATGCTCAGGAGGAGAGCATCCATGAGAGAACCGTCTCCAGAAAAAAAAAGAGCAAGAGGCACAAAGGTATAGGGCTTGTTCGCTTTTGGTTTAGTCCTGTCTGTCATGATCACTTGAAGCTGTTCGCTTTCTCAGTAGCACAAGAGGTGAAGCCAGTGGAGAACCAGGGTTTGGATCTTAGTAGTGGGACAGGTTTAATATACTAGCGCTTTCTACTTTTGTCTACATTTGAGAGGAAAGGAGATTGGTAAGAGTCAGTAGGTTTCTGGAGTTGTAAATTTGACTGTACTAGCCATTCATTGAGAACATGTCATTGGTAGGTAAAAACCCGTATGGTGACATGAACACAAAAAGCCTTTGCATTTCTGGATTTCTGAACAGGTGAGGAAGCAAAGATGTGACCAAAAACGTTTTCCTAAATATGTGGATTGTATATAACCAGTTTCATTTCAGCTGAGGTTAGATATTACTATGGACTTTTAAGTGCTCTGCAATTGTTAATGTCTGCTTATGTCTAATAGATACTGTGGGAAATAGAAAATTATGTGATTTTATACTTTAGTGCCAATAAAACTCACACAAATGAAACAAAGAAAAATAAACTAACAGTATATAATGTGCCAGACTGTCGTGCAGTGGTTTGCTCTAGACTTCATGAATCAGACTTTCCTGGGGTAGCACCCAGGATAGCTATTCTTAAAGCTAAAGTGGTTCCAGTGATCAGCTAGAGTTAGGGGAAGCTAATGTATAAATGATATGTGTATTTTTGGTGTCAGATGTGCCAGAACTTTGATCTGTACTTGAGAGTCAGATAACAGATATTTGTATTTATTAAAATATATTGGAACAATCAATAATTAGTGGACTGACATCGCTTTGCAATTATGCCAGTTATTGTCAGTGATACCACTGTTTTCCAGAAGGCCAAAGTTAATACATTCCTCACATTTCTTTGTTCCTTAATTTTTTGCTTGAAATCCCTACTCATCATCACCATGCTTTTAGAGGTTTATCTTGCTTTGCTTTGTTTCTGGGCACACTCCAGAGAACAGCTTACAGACTTTTAAAATCTCTTTACTGACATAAAATTCGCTCCTTTAATGTGTACAATTCAATGGCTTTAGTATGTTTACAGAGTTGTGCAACCATGAACATGATCTGAGTTGAGAACATTTCTATCACCCCAAACCTCTTAGCATTATTCCTCATTTCCTCCTAATCCTCCTGGTCCCCCTAGCCTACCCCCAACCACTGATTTACCTTCTGTCTCTATAGATTTGCCTGTTCTGGACATTTCATATAAATGGAATCATACAATATGTGGTCTTTTGTGTCTAGCTGTTTTCATTTAGCATGTTTTCAAGTTCATCCATTTTGTAGGATATAACAGTACTTCAGTTTATTTGGCTATTTTTTAAAAAAACATTAAAAAAGTTTTTTTTTTTTTTCTTTTAGTGTTTATTTTTGAGAGAGAGACACACAGAGTGTGAGCAGGGTAGGGGTAGAGAGAGAGGGAAACACAGAACCTGAGGCAGGCTCCAGGCTTTGAGCTGTTAGCACAGAGCCTGACACGGGGCTTGAACCCATGGGATGCAAGATCATGACCTGAGCTGAAGTCGCGGATGCTTAACCAACTGAGCCACCCAGGTGCCCCTATTGGCTATTTTGAATAATGCTGCTGTGAATGCTCTTGTACAAGTTTTTGTATGGACGTATATTTTCATTTCTGTTGGGTAGGAGTGAAAGTGCTGAATCACATGGTAACTCTGGTTTAACTTTTTGAGTAATTGCCAGTGTGTTTTTTGTAGTTTCCATTTTATATTCCCACCAGTAATGTAAAGACTTCCAGTTTCTCTACATTCTCACCAACACTTGTTATTGTCTGACTTTTTAAATTAAAGCCATCTTAGTGGATGTCAGGTGCATGTCATGGTTTAGATTTGTGTTTCTCTGATGGCTAATGATGTCGAACATCTTTTCATGTGTGCTTATTGCCCATTTCTATGTCTTCTTTAGAGAAATGTCTACTCAAATCCTTTGCCCATTAAAAAAAAATTTTTTTTTAACATGTATTCATTTTTGAGAGACAGAGACAGAACGCAAGTGGGGGTGGGGCAGAGAGAAAGGGAGACACAGAATCCGAAGCAGGCTCCAGGCTCTGAGCTGTCAACACAGAGCGTGATGTGGGGCTTGAACTCACAGACCGTGAGATCATGACCTGAACCGAAGGTGGATGCTTAACCAACAGCCACCCAGGCACCCCATCCTTTGCCCATTTTTAAGTTGGGTTATCCTTTTATTACTGAGTTGTGAGAATTCTTTGTGTATTCAGGATACAGATACATAATTTGTGGCTTTCAGGTTTAACTATAATTCATCTTTTAGTTCTCTGCTCTCTCTGCTTTACTTTCATTAGGTTCCTTCATTCTAGTCAGACTGGTCTTTTTTTTTTTTTTTTTTTTT